TGCAAATTGGCTCATTTCCAGCTGTGAGAATGAAATATCGGTTTCACCTCCACGTCACAAAACACAAATCTCGTGGCAGAGGGGGGGGGGGGATGCGCCCCCTCTTGTGTAAAGGCTAAAAAGGCCCACTTGCTGGGTAATTCTGAAAATCTAAATTTGCGTGAAAATCTTTAGAGGAAAATAAACCACAGGCTACACTTGTCTGCGAGATTTCCCAGTGGGTTCCGTGTCTCGCGTCTCGTGGCACGGCGCCAATTGCACATTGGGAATAGAAATGTGGAAAATACCACCTTACAAACCGCACTCAATAAATTACATTTATATTCCAAAACATTACGAACATACAAATAAGCTGACAATTTCGTCTGCCAAACTTGCTACGTGTTTTTTTCCCCCCATGCTATTTTTTCCAGCTTACGTAAAAAATATATATATACACACAGATATATACATATATAATTCGAAATTATGGAAAGGCATTAAGGTGAAGAAGCCACGTAATGGCCTGGTGGCATTACATGATGTGTTGCGCTGAAACGGGGCGATGGCTTTAAGAGCTTTAATAACCTGCCGCTGAAAGACGGACATCTATGCCAACGTTTCTCGCACAGACTGCAAGCAGGCGCCCAACCAGCGCTGAAACACCACCAAACCATGCGATAGCGATTCAATTAAACTCCAGGCTATGAAAAAGAAGAATATCGGTGGAATTCAGATAAGACAATGAGCCTCTTAAAATTGCTGTAATAGTTTTTTTGTACTATTTGCTTAATGTGCAGTGCTCTTTCTTTAGTTTGGAAAGGCAAAGTTAGCAACGTCATACGTAGATATCGAGGTTATTATGAGATTTAACAGTATCCACGTAATGTGTGTGAGTAGTTAAGTCAATGAGAAGCAGATTTTAAAATGTTGGATTTAAGGGTGGCGGCCTGGTGGAAGTTGGGGGAGGAGTTGGGTGTCAGTGTGGCGCAGTGATAACGCTCGTGCCTCACAGTAAGAACCGCCTGGGTTCGATTCCCGACTCGGGTGCCTTTCTGCGTGGAGTCTGAATGTTTTCATCATGTTTTGCATGGGTTCTCCTCCGGGTTTATTGGCTTTCCTTCCATTGCAAAAAAACAAAACGTACAATATAAATGGTATTGTCGAACATGCTGAAAAATCACTTGCAAATTACTTGATTGTGATTACACACAGCAAAATCAGAGCCCAACTGCAAAACAACTTGACGTAATAAGCCGCTTGAAAAGAGTATTCAGACTCCGATGCTCTCACGGACGAACAAGCTTAACATATTTAGTTGTTTTGGGCTTTATGATAAATTTGCGATGATTTTCGGACGATTCAGATGAAGTACCCATTTAAATTTATTCGTGCGAACACTTGCGGCATCATCCGATAACCAGATACCGCAAGACACCACCTTTGGCAGTAAACACACGGGTGAGATTCCATGTGACGTCACCTCCTCTTGCCATTTTAGCACGTCGGCTTTCACGACCAATATCATCCATAAGAGGTTTTTTTTGGGTGAGATCGCGTAAATATATAAATGTGTCGTTAAACCCGCCACCACCCGATACAGCCAACTAGTAAGGGTTGTCACGTAAACAGAACGTGACAATTCGTCACTAGTACAGTACACCGGTGTGTTGGAGAGCTAAGCCACAACAGTTACAATCGGAGTACGACTTTTCGCCAGTTATTACAACTAGCTTCATCAGGCGACAGCCATAATTGTGGATAAGTCTTACTGTTTCGTTCCTCATATAGAGGCGTAGATGTGGTGACCACGCTTCTGCGCTCTTGAGTCAACGTACGTTATCCATGCTCATTTGCGGGCCCACTGGTCTTGTCCTTTCTGTCCATTGTGTTTATTAAAATAGCCGTACCAACGGTAATCCCTATTGTAGTATGGTGGCCTGTATAGGCAGGCATTTAAACAATGTTTTATTTGATGATTTGCTTCTACGCAGCACTAAGTCGGTAGCTATCTGAACGGTTAAAATATTTTTTATTTCTTTCTACTTCGATAGATTCTCGAATTAGTCTTGGCCAGTAGTAGCTAGTTTTGCATAAAACTTCAACATTATTAAAATTCCATTGCGTGTCCTTGTTGGCACGCATGTTCTGCTACTGCTGACAGTTGTATTTGACAGTTTCATATTTCTTTGGTGTTATTTTAGTCTCGTGCTGATCATTCGTCCTGTTTGCCCAACATAGCAAGTGCAGTTAATCCTGTACACACCTTATGTTGATAGCTTCAGTAATACATCTTTAGTACCAGATATTAATCTCTGTATTTTATGTACCGTGCTAAATCTGACTAGGATGTTTTGTTTTTCCAAACATCTGGCTAGTTCATCAGTTACTCCTGCAATGTACGGTATTTTGATCTCCGATAGTGAGAATTATTTTATTATATTTTATTTTTATTATTTTATTACTTCCCTTCTACGTGACTTTACCGAAAGAACCAAAAAAGATGAGTACGCTTATTATTTGTCTTCCAATTTCAACAAACCATTCGAGAAACCCTCTTTTTGGTAATCCGTTCGCATTAATTGGGGACCCACGACCACGCAATGGAAACTTTCGCTGCCAATTATTAAGAACCGCTCTTCCGTTTTGCCTAACCGTCGCCTGCACATTACGCGCCTACACACCTCATTGATTTCTGATGCGTCGAGCCCATTAACCACCGACAGACAATACCCACCCAGCCGTTCCCGCCGTAATTGCAACCATCACGACGCGTCGTACGGGGTTTGCGTTTCCACACGCCCGTGCCATGCTCACGTTTTAATATCCACATGTGGCAACGAAACAAAAGATATTATATTATTTAAAAAAAACATCGCATTCTAACGAGCACCGCGATCTCACGCTCACGCCGTCACGAACCGCGAAGGGGATGCGCGAGGGGAAACGAAACGAGATTGCCATGCACGAGCACTCCAAGCGAGCGTGAATCGAGCTGTCAAATCACACAGTGGGATGCTGCGTAACGGTCGGCACACCGCTCGACTCGCGATCCTGGGGGTGGTCGCCGGTCCGATCCGATCTCCTGGCGCGGCAGGTGAAGCAAACATCGGCGCAAGATTTGTGAACGCACCAATCCCCCCGGCCCTGCCGCGCCCTCTGTCCACCCAGCGCGGGGATCGGCAAACGAAACTGCAAGAAGACAAACTCAATATTTCAAGAGCCCGCACTGCACGTGAAGACCAGATGTCACGAAACAGTCCGCGAGGAGCTGCAGTTGGCCGGCCCCTGGACCTAGCAGTATAAATGGTTCGAGTTGCCAAACGTCAGCCTCGAAACCTTAATGACTTGGAGAAGATCTGCAAAGAGGAGTGGGACAAAATCCCTCCTGAGATGTGTGCAAACATGGTGGCCAACTACAAGAAACGTCTGACCTCTGTGATTGCCAACAAGGGTTTTGCCACCAAGTACTAAGTCATGTTTTGCAGAGGGGTCAAATACTTATTTCCCTCATTAAAATGCAAATCAATTTATAACATTTATGACATGCGTTTTTCTGGATTTTTTTTATGTTATTGTCTCTCATTGTTCAAATAAACCTACCATTACAATTATAGACTGATCATTTCTTTGTCAGTGGGCAAACGTACAAAATCAGCAGGGGATCAAATACTTTTTCCCTCACCTTAAATGGATGCGCCATAATTAGTCGATCGCAGATCACGTTTGTGGAGGTGACATGTGGGATACTCTAACCACTGCCAAATTAAGTCTGTCCAGCAGTGTAGGAGAAGATGAAAATTACCCGCTAGAGGTGCCTTATCGAGAGCTCCCCTCCAGTGCACACCCTTCTGCCAGCAATGGCATAAGCAAGCCATTCCAGGGCTGCACCTTTAACCACAACATGTCGAAAAGCAATACTGCAGAAACGAGCTCCCCCAGGGTTATCCCCGGTTGAATAATGAACCAATGTCCCCAAAGGGCAGGAATCAGTGTTTGCTTCAGTGGCAGCGCCAGGAGGTAGCAAATCAAGCAAAAGCTCAGGGACCCCTAGTAATTCAAGGGGCGCCGAATAAAAACAAGGGTTGCATCGAATAGTAGCTTAAATTTCAAATGCTCTTAAACATAAAAGGCCGGTTAACCCAATACAAGTCAATTCATCTTCATCACCTTCATACCTTGCCTGCATCTCTCTTCTCCCGCTGCATCTCCATTTTGAACACGTTTCCCTTGTACCACGACATCTATATCACTTCTGTCATCTTACTCAGGTTTCAGACGTGAGTGGGGGCGGGAGAAAACAATTATTTATGCGTAGCGCTCCCCCCTTTCCCCCGTTGGGCTTGCACCGTCACCGCTTTGCACAGCTCCCATCATTGAGTTCGCAAATGCCATTCCCAGGCGAGTCTAATTTTCCAATTAAATTAGGCGCAAAGCAAGCGTCATCAGCTCGGCAGTTAATCATGCAATTGGTCACGCGCCATTGGTTAATGTTGCCACCTTTTTAATTCGTCCTGAAAATGAATTGTCGTGTCTGAGAATGTTTTCGCTTTCCATCCGCTCAGGGAAACGGTCTCTTGGTGTTGCCGGGCTCGCGGTCCACGATCATTTACGCAGTCGTGGCACACGCGGGAAGTCACCGTCACTTTACGTTAAGTTAAATCTTGACTTAGAGCTTTCGTGACTGCAGGAATTAACATTCTTGGGTCCTGTTATTTTCTTTTAACCTATCTACGTGACTTTACCGAAAGACCCAAGAATAACAAAAGTTCGTTCTGGCTGCTTTTGTTGTTGTTGTTACCAAGTTACAGCAACGATTTTAAAAGTTACATACTCGATAGACCCTTTCGATTTAAAGCTTTCGTGACTGCAGGGATTCATCTTCTTGGTTCTTTCGGTAAAGTCACGTAGAAGGGAAGTAGTAAAATAATAAAAATAAAACATGATAAAATATTTGTATTTATTTTAAAATATTGTATTTATTTTATTATGTTTTATTTTTATTATTTTATTACTTCCCTTCTACGTGACTTTACCGAAAGAACCAAGAAGATCGATAGACCCTGTTCATCCACGAGAAGGCCGCACATCGTGCTGGTGAGGATTGCTTGAAGAAAAGCCCAGTCCGAGGTTGTTGTTGTTGCTTGAATCAATGCGACTGGAAAATATTTAGACGGGAAATCGAGGCTTACGTAGCTGGCGAGTTTAAAATGAATTTCATCTGGAGATTAAAGAAACCCTCTTTCCTGGTTTGCATACAATTGTCTTGCAAAGCTGGTTACACGTTAATATTGAACCCTCCGAATTCTAACGCTGAGTGAGCCTCGGGCAATTTGGTGGCAGGGCCAGTGCAGTGGAAACACTCGTGCCTCGCAGCAAGAAGAACCTGGGATCGCTTCCCGACTCGGGTGCCTTTATGTGTGGCGTTTGTACGTTTTACTCCTATTTGACATGGGTTTCTTCCTACAGCTTTACCTGGTGACTGCCAACATCCCAATGCTTATAACTGACCTGAAAATGACTCAATTGGGATTCGACACGGCAGCAGAAACATCGCCTCCCTCCCGCTGACAAAGAGCCTTGAGACTCGGTGAGGTGTTTCTGGGTATTCATTTGTTTTTAGAAATATAATCGCTATTTTGGCGCAGAAAAATCATCAAAGGTACCTTAGGCTGGCTCTGTGGGTGTTGCTTCATCAATTGCTGGGTGTGTACGGCGCATATTCTGGATATATGCATCAACTGACTAATGCCCTCATATACCGCGCTCGCGCGTCGAGTCTCAAGACGAAACAAATGAACACCGCGGTGATATTTGCTGGATGCCGTGACTCACGCTTTCTCCGTGTGCCATTGACATTCTGCCGACACGCGTCTCTTACAAACGTCGACAGGACCACCCAGTTTTAGTGGCATTCTGCGCTGAGTTTCTTTATTAAACATCGCTGCTCCGCCGCACATCCCCCTCATTTTGACAAAACTCATCAATTGTGGAATTCATAAAAACAACTTGTCAGATGACGAAGAGGAAATAAGTGTTCGTTGGGCACGCCGACACTGAAATCGTATTCGTAATGTGACGTGCCCTATGGGATGCAGAATCAGGCTCTTTATTTATCCTGGAGAAATCTGACAAGCTATGAAGCTCTTTTTCACAGATGTCCAGTGGGGGGCGAGCCAGTGGGATGCACACGCCATAGCAAAAACACCGAAGACAAATATTTCCCAGATACACTTTAATATAGTTTGTTGGGGCAAGTGCTGTAAGCGAGCACCTATTAAGGCCGCATGCAAGGCGCATGTCAGGGCGATGTGTCCAGCACCACGCCCGACCACATTTATTTCTCCAATGCTGATGTTTTGACACCACACCCCCCAGGTGCTTATGTGAGGTCCAATGAACCCGGAGGAGACCGATGACCGGGGTGAAATTTCACCTGCCACTCCGATGTTTACCGTGGCCGGGAATCAACATCGGCTCGCCGGGTTCAGAGCGCAGCGCGCAACTCCACCACGCTGCCGCTCCCCGTCCTCACGCGCGCCCGCGTGCACGCGCTTTTTCAATATGAAGGACAGTTAATATAACACGATAATGTCACGTGAAAGAAAAGCACAGCACAGGATGGGGTTTTCGTAATCTTCGCAGGATAGCTTATAGATCGCTATGCACACCACTCAGAGTGAGTGAGCGGTTCAGTTTCCTCTGCCATCGGGTAATTTATTCAAAGAATTGCCAAAACATGTCTGCTGACTGTTGCGAACTGCACTTTAAAGACCCTCTGACATCATATGCAAGAATTATGCCACCGTTGGCCTATGGCTTTGCCCAAAAGGAAGTGCTACACGCCCGTTCATGGCCCACCTCTGCGGGTGACAATTCCGACATCCCTGGGTGACAAGGATGCGTGGCTGTTCGTGGTTGTAACATACAACTCTCGGATGTGATTTCGAGTTGCACCGCGTGTTGTTCAGCGGGTGTCCAACGTTTCGCATCCACATGCTGCGAGCTTCTTCAGGAACTGAATTGAGTGGTTTGCTACGCTGTGCTAGTATACCAGAGTAACGAAACTCCACACACACACACACGCGCGCGTACGAGAGGACGACACATCAGGGTCCGCACAGATGGCTTCACAAACACGCCGTATGTTTAGCATGGACGATGGCACAGTCACTCGCAATCCGAGTTGCATCTTCCCGCTTGAGCCGCGAGTGAGATGGCAGCATAGCTGATGTGCTGCCAGCTTCCGGCCAACCTCGCATCCCAACAGTTTCGGGAATTTCACGAATTTCTGCACACTTCGCACGCATGGTGGATGGCGCGGCGCGTCACCCCGACGATCTGGCTCACGGTGCATCTGGGCCGAGCACTCCATCCTCACTGGCGTGGCTCGCTCAATTATCTCGCTCCTCTCACTCACCGACTCACTCGCTCACTCCCTCACGCCGTCCGTGTGCAACCCAGGTGTCCATTGATGGTGACGAAGGTGTCCGGCACTGTCACTCGCTCCCTCACTCAATCCCCTCACTCATTCTCTCATTCACTCAATCATCTCACTCGCCGCACTCACTCACTCGCTCACATTCGCTCCCTCAGCCGATCCTCTCTCACTCGCTCCCTTAAACTTGCTCGCCTGCTCACTCAAACACCTCATCGCACCGAACTCACACAACTCCTTCCCTCTCTCGCTCGCTCGCCCGCCCGCCCGCGCGCCCTCCAGCCAGCTCACTCCACTATGGGGTGCACCAGGTATCCGTTGAAGGTGACGTAGGTGTCTGTGCTGTCGCTGTAGACGGCGTTTTCACGCTCGCGCTTGTAGAGTCGCAGCCAGAGCTCGTCGCCCTCGGCGAGCTCCAGCGTGACGCTCTGGCTCTGCATGATGCTGCGGTCGCTCTGCTGCGCGTAGAGCACCACCTGCGGCCGCTCGTTGAGCATCAGGTGCACGTAGGTCTCCTTCGAGTTCCACGTGTGCACGTTGAAGCTCACGAAGTAGAGGCCCGGCACGACGCAGAAGAACTTGCTGGTGAACATGTTGAAGTGGCCGTCCGGGTTGGCGAACTCCGTGTCGAAGGACAGCACCGAGAAATAGTCGCCCGAATGCAGGGCCGTGCGCCGGGCCACCGAGAAGGCCGACGTGAAGACCTTGCAGTCGGCGCCGGGCGAGCCCGGTGAGCCGTGCGGGCCCCTGGGGCCCGAGGGCCCGCGCGTGCCCATCGCGCCGTCCTTGCCCAGGTATCCCGGCGGGCCGTGGTCCCCGCGGGCGCCCCGGTCGCCTGCGTGCGCACGTGACGGGGAGAGATTTTGACGGAGCCTGGCGGCGTGGTTGACACCGCCAACACGCCGAGCATCGCGCGCCGCGCGGACATCCGCGTGGCACATCGCACCGACCGCAGACCACTCACACACCAAGCGAGGGTTGCCACGTCGGCCGCACGACACTCGGCTCACACTCCCTACACCGTACCAACACCACACGCCACGTACGACAATCCTCGCCAAACGCACAACACCAAGCCACGCACCGAACCCCACACTCCGAAACTCCGCACAATGATTGCTGCACTCCACACACACCACACATGCATTGGCGTCACCAATGCATGGATGGGCGAGCGCCATGCACTACACGGGTGTTATAAGCTGCTGTTGCTGCTGCGGGGTTGTGCTGCTATGTTGTGAGCAACAGAGGAGAGGGCAGCAACATCTATGGTCGTGCTATACCCAAGTGCCACCATATGATGCACAAGTGAAAAATTGTAAACGCTCTAGTGTGCGACTGTGGTCATCCAGAATAGGCCGTGCAACGTACAACGACGCAATGCCCGACCCACAAATACGAAGGAGACATCATGGCGATGCACTGCACTGCTCCGGACACGGTTGACTGGGCCGTACCACCTTGATGTGAAATTGAGGGGAGGGAGGAGGAGGAGAGGGGAGGAGGGGGGAGGAGGAGGGGGGAGGAGGAGGAGGGAGGAGGAGGAAGGAGGATGAGGGAGGAGGAGGAGGAGGGGGGAGGAGGAGGGGGGAGGAGGAGGGGGATGAGGAGGAGGAGGAGGGAGGAGGAGTGAGGAGGGTTGAGGATGGAGGAGGAGGGAGGAGGGATGAGGATGGAGGATGGGGGAGGAGGAGGGGGGAGGACGAGGGGGGAAGAGGAGGGGGAAGAGGAGGGGGAAGAGGAGGGGGGAGGAGGAGGGGGGAGGAGGAGGGGGGAGGAGGAGGGGGGAGGAGGAGGAGGGGGGAGGAGGAGGGGGGAGGAGGAGGGGGGAGGAGGAGGGGGGAGGAGGAGGGGGAGGAGGAGGGGGAGGAGGAGGAGGAGGAGGGAGAGGAGGGTGGAGGAGGAGGAGAAGATGCCACCACATGTATGCGCCCAGTCTTTCAGCGACCCACACTGACCAGCTTGAAATATGGTTAAAGTAACCACACCCACCACATTCGAGCCCCGAACCTGCACGGCATTGGGGATTCCTTCATCCAGCAGTGGATTTCCCAAAGCGCAGGTAGATGTGCACTGAGCCACATGCTGTGGCAGTTATTTTGTATGATCTGGGCAGATTGTTCCCTTACAAACAAAATAGTAAAACGTATTAACATATTTAGTGCCTGTGAGCAAACTTACGTGCGTAGAAGCTGAATTTCAATAAATCTATAGAGGAGCACATATCTAGCAATTCCGCTTGAAAATATTATCTTTTTAGATTTATTTCTGGCGAGAATAAAACATATTTTTTGCCAAATTTGAATTTATTTGCCGAATTTTGAACATTTTAAATTAAAGTGAGCTGCTATCAGGCACTGGCAGTCAGTCAGTTTATTTTGGGTTAGGTCCATTGAGCTGAGAAGATTTTTGTCAATGGCTACCCAGCCAAAACGACCAAACCCGTTACATGGGAAGGGAGGGTTTACAGGGGCTGCATGGACCGGCTGGTACACAATAGCCAGTCAATTGCATGGAAAGGTTCGGGTTTACAGGGGTTTCATGGAACAAAAGCAGGGACATTTGATAAACATGAATACATTATAAAAAATACCAACCAGATCTCTGTACAATGAAAATCTAGTGAGCAATTCAAAATAGCATTATGCTAGACACTAGTGAGAGTAACTTGACATTTTAACATGGCATTCATAACAGCAAGAATTACAATTGCATTCCCTATTTGAATTAACAGCATGAACAAAAATGACAATGTCAAGTTCCCTGTCACCAATGGTGTTTTCTAAAGAAATTCACAGGGTTTTTGGCAGCAGTAAACATAAAAGCAACGCCCTGAAAGCAGACAGAGATAGTCGGGGTCACAATATTGAGACCAATCTAGATTAGAAGTTTTTCGTGACTGCAGGGATCCATGTTCTTTGGTTCAGCAATTGTTTCTTGCTGTGATTGTCCCACCTGATGACGGATGCTTGTGTTGCGCCCAAAACTTCATGATTTAATTTATTTTAAATTATACTTACGTGACTTTACCGAAAGAACCAAAGAGTAATATTGAGACAAGCGACCAATGTATTCCAGAGGTTTGGGTGCCACAATTGAGAAGAGCATTGACCCATTTTGAAAATGAGCTTCTTAGCTCAATGGGTTTCTGATTCCAAGTAATAAATTTGCCCTTATAAAGCGCATTTCTACAAGGTACCCAAAGTGTACATCACAAAAGTCAGGAAGTATCTCATTGGCCAAGGGGAGCAAGAAATACGAAGTATAGGAGCTACTTGTAGAGTAAGTCACATGACCGGATCTTGAATGGAATATAAAATCTCGCCATTCACAATCCACAAATATTTGGAAGCCTCACCATGCCATGTCGATCATGTTTTTTTTTAAATATCATATTTCACCAAACTGTTCATTGCAGGTTGATGAAGATCGGAAGGTACGACCGGTTCTGATGTTATCCATTGCCCGGAATAAAAATGGGATTTGCCAGGTTCCACTGTGACACAAAAATACTACTTACCATATTCTCCTTATTATAAGACACACTTCTTTCGTAGAAAAACTGAAGGGTGGGTGAGACCAGATTTGCTTCGGTTCATTAAAACCTATCACAGGTTTGAGGTGCGTTTTACTTTCTAGAACACCGTATAAATGGGCACCACAGTGGTGAGCTGTTATCTGCCTCGCCGGGTATACAAGGGGTCGTGGGTTCGATCCCGACCCTGAAGTCAGTATATTTGTAGTTTTCGTGTTCTCCCTATGGTCGTGTGGATTTTACAAACAACATGCATTTAGATTTTTTTGGCTGCTAGAAATGTCCACATGATATCATTTGTGGCCAAGTCTCCACTGAAGGAGAGCTAATAGCTCAGTGGGCTTTACCTGGTAAGTAGAAAATCATTTAATAGTTTAAATAGATTAAATTGTTAGAACACAGTATATGCCATAGACTTAGCAGCAGCAATGCGCGTGCACAGCCGACATCTGCCAAGGTCCCACGGAAGATGACAAAAAGACAAAGATCCCCCGTATAGCCTTAGCAGACTGTAGGGGCAAGTGCTGTTAGCGAGCACCTATAAAGGCTGGCACGGCACACGGGTGGGTCGGTGGCCAACACAACACCCGGCCGCCTTTGTCTCCCTAGTGGTGATGTTGACACACCGCACCAGGTACTCATTTGAGGCTGAGTCGACCGGGTCGCCGGGTTCGTCGTGCAGCGCGCTCACCGCAACACTGTCGCTCCCCACACGGGAGATGAAATCACACTTTCACCTATAGGTCAATTCATGATTCTCAGCCTATAGGACTGCACCACAAAAACATCTAACACATTTTTGGTGTCAAACATTAATTATTTAAGACAGCTCTGAGGGCCGATTGCAGTACATTTACAAGAGGTTAGTTTGTGGCTTTTCTCATGTAAACACTCGTTAATTGGCCGACAGAGCTTGGGGTGGAATTGGGAACACATCCACCTTGTTAATGTGTGTTGAGTTGGCGAGAGTGCAGCCTGGAGGCTGAGGTAATATACCACAGCCGAAGGTTATAACGAAAAAAAAAGCCTTCCCACTTTGGAGTCGCATCACGTTGAGACGAGACTTCTTATTTCTGCGGGCGCTTTAAATGAATTAACGCATCGCTCTGTGTGCAGATGTCGATAGTAACATTGTAACAAAATTCGTGCAAGATAAATAATTCAGTTTTAACTACTCCCTCTCATCATCATCATCATCTATTTTCCCAAACGACTGCTACCATGTTTTAACTCGACAAATGTCAGCTCCAATTGGGCCGTACTACAATCTATGGCAACTCAACAGCAGCAGCGGCGGCAAGCAGCGTTCACCTTTGAGGATGGAGATCTCGATCTGCGGTGCTGCTGTTGTCGTGGTTTGATGGAGGCTGTCACCGTGGCGAGGCGGCCACCTCGGGGAGTCGCAGCATCTCACACATGCATCCTCAACCTGACGCACCCCCTTGCCTCCGCGCACCCCCGCGCCCCCCTTTCTCTCTGCGCCCTTGCTCCTTCCTCCAGCTCCGTCCTCTGCCGAAGGGGCCCCCAGCACTCTCGAGGACGGCAGCACCAGTGCCAGGAAGATGGCCGCCCAGTGGGCCCAGGCTATCACCATGGTAACGTGCACCTGGTGATGGAAAAAGAGACGTTGAATTTGTTATAACATTGCTTGACACGAACTGGCCCTTCTTCGTATCATGTACGAAGGTGTTGAGTTTAATGTTTCACGTGTTAATTTTGCTTGTGCAACACCGCCGATACAGAATCGCCAAATAGAGTAATACGTTTTTTACCCTTTTATCTGGCACCAAAACTGACACCTTTATACAAGGGATCATGTTTGCAATAACCACAACACAAGCAGTCAAAATGCAAACAAAAAAAGACAACTCTGATAATGATATGCACTGTCCTTGAAATTGATTGGTCCACACCCGAGACGGCTTTTCTTAGAGCCTAGTCTCCACTGTTGTTGGACCAGATGACGCCAAAAGGCGTACAACTCGAAAACAGGGCACTATCAGAGTATTGAGAGCTCGGGGTAAGCATTTACACCAAATAATTTGACTTTGAATTTGCCTGCCGAGAACAGGCCCGAAATGTAAAGTAGCTAACAATAACCAGCACTCTTGAAGTTGTAATACCGTTCTTGATAAAGATTGTTGCATTTGGTGTAAAAGAGACGATGAAGGGGAATTCCTAAGTGGAGCAGTGTGAGGGAAGAGGCAGAAAGAGATGCGGTGTGACCTGTAGTGTAGTGAGTGAGTGGGTGAGCGAGTGGGTGAGTGAGTGAGTGGGTCAGTGAGTCGGTGAGTGAGTGGGTGTTCAGTCAGTCTTTTCTGGAGACACCCTAGCTACTACTGTAGGCACACACTAGGTGCTTTCCATCTTGCACCTGGTGAGTCGCTACTTCCAGCAGCTGCCAACGCCGAACCCCGGGTAGAGGTTAGCTACCCTGGCAAACTCAGTATCTGAGTTGGGTCGGTGGAACCCTTGGTGGAAGAAATACCATCAAAACGTCTTCTCCGACCATCTACGGCATCCAGCATCATCTCTAGCCGTCTAGACGTCGTCTTGCCACTGGATACAGATGAGTTTGGAATAGAGAGTGAGGTCGAAGTTGCGCAACTGTTCCTCACTTAAATCTAATTAAAAGCGCAAGTCATGACACCATCATCAGGTCCAACAAAAAATATCAAAGATACACCACTTAATATGGGTGCTTGGAATGTGCGCACACTTATGGCCACAGCTGGACCAAACAGACCTGGGAAACGTACGGCTCTTGTAGGCAGATAACTTGCCAGATGCGAAATTTACGTTGCCGTCCTAAGTGAGACCCGGCTAGCTGACACGGGACAGATTGCAGAAGATGAATCCGGTTTACACCTTCTTTCGGAGTGGGCGTGGAGAAGAGAAGAGATGTCTCACTGGTGTTGGTTTTGCAGTAAAACTAACCTGGCCGACCAAATGTCAAGCTTATCCCAGACAATTTGATGACCCTGGAGCTTCATCTACCAGGCAAAAAGCAGGTCACCATCATCAGTGCCTATGCACCAACCATGACAAACTCTTAACAGGTCAAAAAAAAGTTCTAAACTGACCCGGAGAATACAATTGCTGCTATAACCAGCAAAGATAAACTCATTATTCTCGGCGACTTCAATGCCAAAAGATATCAAAAGTCATGGGAAAGCCTTGCTCAAGATCGTCCGACCTGGCGAAATCTCATCTGGGACGGTGCTACCACCTCTGAAACCAGCAGGACCAGAAATGCCATGGTGAAGAGACAACAGTGCAAGACCCATATCAAGAGACCTGTTCCCCAGCAGGCTGCTACCATCATATCATATCCAATCTGGGCTCAGATTGGCAACCTCAGCCATCTGTGCTCTCATCGTACCCCAGACTCATCCCAAATGAAGCGTGTCATGGCCATCATCAACCTTTGATGAACGAATAAGGAAGGAGTGAGTGGGTAAGTAAGTTAGTGGGTGAGTGAGTGGGCTGGTACGTGCGCGTGGAAATGGTTTCTAAGGTATGGAGGAGGAGGAGGCGCAAGGCTGTGGATGGCTCTGAACGCGAAGGCGAGGATCTGGGTGCCCATACGCTCGTGCGTTGGGAAGCCAGTGAAGTGAGGCCAAGTACTTGGGGTGATGGGAAAGATTACGATTTACAAACTTGCTTGCGAGCGACGGCGGTGGGGGTCTCGCGAATGCTAGCGGCGCTCACAACATCCATCGGGCAGCAAAATGAAAAAGGGGCGAGCGGAAAATGAATGTGAAATGTTGCACAGCCTTCATTGGCAAAGAAATGAGGGTCGATAGCAGCCACATTGTACGCAGGAGTGTGCAGAAAGCATTATGGCTTGTAAGAGCGCTCATTAATTATAGAAAGAGCAAATTAATTAATGTTGTGCAAAACAAAGACTAAGTTGTTTCAGACTCAAATTACACGGTATCCATATGCTATTCATAACCTTCAGACAACTGCTGGAAATTCGACATTGATATGGTTGAGGAAAATTGCTCCAAGGACGACCGCAATGCCAAACCTGTATATATTTCAAAAATACTGTAATTTATCAACTCAGATTAATAAGCTTCAATGAGTCTCAAGACTCATTAGAACAAGTTAGGAAAATGATGTGCACCGGTGTAATGCTTTTCAACATGCATTTTTGGCCATAATCCATTATAGAGGTTTTTGTGTTAGATCGCGTAAATATATGAATGTGTCATTAAAACTCGCCACCACCCGACACATCCAACTAGTAAGGGTTGTCACGTAAACAGAACGTGGCCAATTCGTCACTAGTACAGCACACCGGTATGTTGGAGAGCCAAGCCGCGACATTTACAATCTGAGTATGACGTTTCGCCAGTAATTACAACTAGCCTCATGCATTTTTGTATTCGGAAATGCATTGAAATGCTAGCACGGTATGGAAGTCGTCGGATAGTTGTCAGGGCAAAATTATGTTTGCATGTTTACAAATAGTCCTCATGTCATGGTTTGTGTCTCCCAAGTTTTGGCCAACCCATTGATCAATGTGGCTGGTTTTAAATTGGGGTAAGTTCCGAATAGCAACAGAACTTTTATAAACAACGTTTTAATCACAAGCGACAGTTGCAGGAGAATGGCCAGAGCGAAGGCATCAATGCGTTCAACCCGAGTGAGAAAACATGAGAAAGAAGCCCACGCTGGCCAATATTGTCAGAGGTTCACCCAGAGTGGATGCTTGCAAATCAAGGCTTCACGCCTATTTCTATGACTTCGCCTTGTGATTTTATTTTGGCATCTCACGATCATTTTATTTTTTCATCTTCTTGTTTTCCCTTCTCTTTGTGTATTTATCTTATTTTATGAGTGTTTGTGCAGCATGTGTGAATGTTTGCTTTATATTAACTCGAGTGAAGCAGCCTTGAACCTCATGGTATGAAAGACACTCTATAAAGATTATCATGATTTTTTACTTTATATGCTGCTGTAATATTCTTTTGCACACACACGCACGTGCTAATGGTCGTAATTTTATTTTTGGCTACGGCCACGTGGTAGTCAGTAGATGTATTCCAAAATTTATTGAAGCAGCCTATTGATCGCATTAGGATCAAGACTGTTACATGGACAATGTGTTGATCAAATTCCAACCTTTCAAGAATCTCCTCCCTAGTGCCTTGACTCTTTTCACGACCGAGTACGACATCAACACGCAACGAAGCTTCGCCCAAACCGGACTGATCTTCAACAGGTAGCGAAATCGGGAAATCGAGTGAACTCGGAGAATCAACATTTCTGAGTTGTGAGATGAATACGCTACGGCTGTCTCAGGCACCATTGCGATTCCTGGGGTTTAGTGTTAATAGCCAAGTTTCGCAGAGCCAGAACACCATTATGATTCGAATGGTTCAATATTTCTGCCCGAGGCTTCCAGAGACAATGTTGAGAGTGACTCAGCCGCAGGCAATCACCTGCTAAACAGACGCAGTGTCAGAAATAGTTGTTGCGCATGTCCATCCCTTCCCCTGCTTTGCGAACAAGTGGTGAATATATTATATCCTTTCATTTGTCTCTATGTACACCGTCATCGCCATCATCAGATACGATCATTCCACTGCTGGATGAAGGCCTCCCCAATCCGCCACCATCTCTCACAGTCCTGCCATGACATCGTGTCGAAGTCAAGTGTATTTTTGGAGAACAAAAAAAAATGTAGTTTATATAAACAATGAAGGTGCTTAAGAATTCTAAGGCTATGGTTTTGACATTACTGCCAGAAAAATGCCATGTATACGCAGTACAAAGTCACCGACACCATGCAAATCCTGTTAATAACACCCCTGATTCACCGTTGCGCGTTATTAGTATTACTTGCGTGATTGTTCAAATCAATCTGGATGCGTTCACGTCGTACGTACTTTTTCATATTTACTTTGAAGAAACGGCAACATTTATTTCGTCAAACACACCATTGAACTGCTCAGCTAAGCCGCAGGGATATAATGTATTTTGAAAGTAATTTATTAGCAAAAAAATAATAATACGTTTTCAGCGATCTGTCAAACACGTGCATGACGAGATCCTTACCAGTGCTGTTCGTCATGGGGGGTTGTTTGCCCATACTTCACCCGGCGGTTGGCAAACGTTGGGGACCAGGGACAGATTCAGACTGCACTTGCCACCACTGACGTTACAGTCAAGTGACCGGGCATCGGAGCGCAGTGTTGCTAACTCTACGCCATTTCTCCACGTGCAAGTGCCGTTTAGCGAGCGCCTATGGGGCCGTCCATAAATGACGTCACGCGATTTGGAACGATTTTTTACCCCCCCCCCCCTTCGTCACACGGCGTCACAAAAAGTCAGACCCCCCCCTCAAATATGACGTCACAAAGCTTTGCACACACCCCCCCCCCCCAAAAAAAAACATGCTTCAAATCGCTTTAAACTAATGTCATTGTAGTTTATTATTTAATGTGGCGCTGCACTCTGATGTTGTAGGAGAAAACGTTTATTAAAAAGTATATTTTATTAAGTAGAACGTATTTAAAGTTGCGCATTTTGATGTGACGTCACATTTCTCAAGCCCCTCCTCCTCGTCACGCATCGTCACAAATGTCTGCCCCC